AATAATTTGAATTTTATCGAATTTATCAAAAAAAAGGAAAAAAAAAAACTGAACCTAATGTATATTATTCATCATTTCTTATCATGTTTAGTTATCATTATATCACATTATCATGGCAACAGATAAGATTAGATAACAAATAATTTGTATGATTAAAGGAAAAGAAAAAAAATGTTTAATATTCATTTTACCCTAAGCATTTTTTATCTGTCATTTTTGATGTTGAAAAAAAATTTTTAATCTTAATTTTTAAAGGGAAAGTTGGGGTGAGAGAGGGAAAAAAAAAAAATTCTGAACTATGTTAGAAGTACAAAATGAAAAAATAATAGATATAAAAAATCACATTCTTGTGACGATAATTTCTTTGGTTCTTTTTTTTTTCCTTTTTTTTTTTTATTTTTTAAGCGCAGCTGCCAATAATTGACGTTGTTGATTCATTGCTTCAAAATGCGCCTCACAAATGTAATCACTTTCGAATGAGTTGTTATCATGACCTCATTTAAAATTTTTTTTTATAGTAATTTTTAAAAAGTTCTGATTTTTTCTATTATTTTTTTTTTTGGTAATTTATAATTTAATTAATCATTAAAATTTCTGACAAAAAAAAAAAAAATTCAAAAGAAAAAGGTAAAAAAGAAAAAAAAACCAAAACAATGAAATAATGTTGGTATTATGATATTAAGTAAATTGAAAAATTTACTATTGTTATTAAGTAATTAAGAATTTACTATTGTTTCAAATTAGCTTTTTTTTTTCATTTCATAAATTATGCGTCGATATTTTTCAAAATTTTACAAAATACTTTTTTCTTTTTTTCCTGTGGATAAGATTGAGCAAATCATATATTTAATTGCTAAATTCTTTAATCATTCACCGGTAAGGTAAGTTATGATATTTAAAATGAAAAAAAAGAAGTATGAAAAAATTGAGCAAATTTGAATAAAATTTATGAAATGAAAAAAGTATGCAAATATTATACATAAAAGAAAAATCGCTTATATTTTTATAAGCTTAAAAATTTTAAGAAAAGAAAATTTTCCGTATCCTTTTCTCTCTCTCCCTCTCTCTCCCTATCTCTCCCTCTCTCCCTCAAAGTGATTAATAAATAATATCATAAATTTAATTTCTTCCATTTTAATTAAGTTTTTTTTAATTTTTTATATTTATATTTTGTCTAAAAACGTATACGTTTGCATAATAACAATTAGATGAATATGTAAGTCGAAAAATGCTTTTATCGTACCGACAAATTTTCCTTCAGGTATGTATTATTTTTGCTCTATCA